GCACGGGAAAAGGAGAGATGAGGTGAGCTCTGCAGCTTCACACAGTGCTGCTGGTGGGTGTCTCCAGCGATACATCCATGCAAATTTTCTGGAAAAAGAAATAGCAGGCTTTTGCTTCACCAACAAAAGAAGCTGTTGAAATAGAGGGTTTTTTTCAGACACAGCTGATAAGGATAATTACGTGGTGGAGAGCTTAGTCATCCATCTCACAGCGACAGAAGAGCAGATTCTCTTAAAAATCACGCCAGCAGCCCCCAGCACTCTCGGGTGCCGGCAGGAGGATCCCGGGCCGGGAATGCCGCTAGAGGGCAGCGCTCCATGCACGGATCCCGGTGCGCGGGGCCCGTCCCGAGCGCTCCGGGCGCGCATCGCCCGGCACCGCTCACCGCCTCCCCGGACGGCGCCGCCAAAACACCTGCCAGACGGAGGAGAAGGCACAATTCCCGGTGTTTTGCCTCGGCAGAAATAGCACTCTAAAGCCAGCAGGAGGAATTCAGCTCATTAACGGGATGCTGTTTTATCTGGGAGTCCTCCGTGGAGCTGATCCTGAGAAATCGCTCTGCCCTGAGGAAATACAACCCAAATGGAATGACCACCTCGAAAGGGGCACTCCTGTGCTTTTTAGTCATGGGTACAGCTCTTTCCTTGGGAAAGGAGAAGCCCCAGATTTTATGTTCCGAATCACAGAGGTAGGCTTGTCCCACTTTGGAAGAGCCAGCAGCTGAAATATCCTCCAAGAGATGGGGATCCATCACCCCCTTCCAAGAGCCTGATCAAGTCCCAGCTGGTTGCCAGACCTGTTTTCTACTTAGATAACACTTCTCTAAAGGGCTCAAACACATACACTTGATAACGTTTTCATCATAAAATTAATTACACAGCCTAAAAGGACTAAAAGGTTAAAACAATTGTTCTGCCTCCTTTCAGCTGGGGAGCCAGGGAAGGATCTGTGTGGGATGTGTGACTGGATGGGCAGCCTGGCAAAGTCCAGCTGGCTTTTTGCGGTACCCTCCTCTTCTTTAGCTCCCACTGCCCATGTCAACAAGATCAATGTAACAGCAAGCCACATCTAGTAGCTAGACAATTAGTCTCAGGAATAAACAAACCAAAGCAGAAGTCCAAACCAAACAGAGAACAAAGGCCAAGCATTTACACATCCAATCACAACCCTCAGGTCTTCTCCAGTCTGTGAGGGAAGCACCTCTGCTCGAGACACTGGGGAGCAGTCACCCATCCAACATCAGTAACCCCAAGACACTCCCGTAAGTCAGAGAAAGCTGGATATCCCCCCCAAAGAGCAATATTTTGTGGGGCTGTGGGCTCACTCTCTTCTATCAGAAGCCACGCTGTGAGCCTGAGGGAACCAGTCCCTAACACAGGCACTAAGAAGCACCCCTAGAGCAGCAGACTCGCAGTGGGATCGTGGTGTCTGGGCAGCAGGAACGTGAGACAGTAGAACAGTTGCTGCCTCCAGAAGAAACAGAAAAACTGGAAGCTCTCAAACTGGTTTCCCTTACTTTGTAGCAATCAGAGAAAGGGGGTGTGGGTCATCTAAAAGGAGAGTAGGAACGCTCTCCAACACGCAGGAAATCTGTGATAGAGTTAGTAGTACATCTCATGAGAGCAAGTGGTGTGACTTTCCAAAACTCAAGGAGTAGGAGGCTTTCTCCAGCATTAGAAACTTTCTGTAGGCAGATCTTCACCCAAGACTCTGGGCGCATGCTGTCTGTCAGGACTGCTAACACGAGCAGACACTGCTTTCATGTTTGGGAATTTTGCCATTGACTTCAAAGTACCGAGATATAACACCTTGTGTATTCCCTAAACACACTTAATAACAGCACCTGACACATTTAAAGTGCTTAGACATGTTAAAGGCATTGTACAACATTAGCAAAAAACCAGGAAACCCTGTCTAGGTGGTTCATGAGAAATCTGGTAAGCCAAGAGTCTATCCCTGCATCAGATGCTATCTATTAACCAGCTAATAACTGTGTGACTCTTCTCCAACTGATCTGTGCAGCCACAAGCAGGGACTACCTTCTGGTGAGCTGTGGAGACACTAGATTATTCATAATCCCCTTAAATCATAACTAAGAATACAGATTAGAAGGTGTAAAGCGTGCAGTAAGTGTTCTAAACCCAACACAAACACAGCCAATCTCAGTCTGAGTCAGAGCCTGCTTGCTGGGAGCTCGCTGAACTCCTTCTGCAGGGCAGCTCTGGGGCTGCAGTGTGGGGTTTGGCTCCTGGGGCTGGGCTGCTGTGACACCGACACACATCAAGCAGTGCCTGGAGCCAGGTACAGGCAGACAGGAGCAAGGTCAGCAGAGCACGGCAGCACCACTTTGGGGACAAGGACACAGGGCTAAGAAATTAATGTTCCCCTTTGCTTCAGGGCAAGCAGTGGAGGGAAGGAACAGCAAGGTCTCCTTGGAGAGGGACAAACGAAAGGGCTTTTGTCTCCAGACAGCTCAGAAATAAAATAAAAACACAGTTCATGAGGTAGCTCTTCAAACATGGAGAAGGCCACCGTCAGGAAACTTCAGCACAGGTCTGACTGGGGACAACACTTCATCAACATCTCTTAACTTAGCCAAAAGTTGCCCAATCACAGAATCACCAAAGTTGGGAGAACTCTTCAATATCATCTCATCCAGCCATCAACCCAGCACCACCATAACTACCTACCCCTTATCCACCATAACAATCCCTTATCCACAGCTCTGAGTGACTCCACCAGCTTATCCTAACGCATGGCTACTCTTTCAGTGAACATTTCTTTCCAATATCTGATCTGAACTTGCCCTGGCACAACCCAAGACCCTTTCCTCTCCTTTCAGTTGAGACATGGCAGAAGACACCTGTCCCTCTCAGCTGTGTGCCCGGGGATGCATTCACAGGTGTCAGTGGTGTCACCTGACAAGGCTTCATGCAGGTGGCAACCCCCATGGTCAGCGAGCTGAACTGCTGCCACTGAAACCAGCCTGAAGCAACAAGCAAATGTGGAATTATAAACTGCATGAGCCTGTACTTGGTACGTGTGGGGATACTGCAAGGAGGCTCTTGAGACTCCTCTTCTTGGAGACAGCAAAACTGGCACCAACCTTTGCACTAACCTGCACAGCTGCTAAGAAGCACAGAGGATACACAACACTGCTTTGTCAGGACGTTTCTAAGGTTATATCTACACTCACTGATGTTTTAACTGCACTGGGCAAGGAATACAGCGCACAGAAGTGCGTTCCTGGACACGCATGGGTCAGGAGCTAATTACCAATGAAAATCATCAAGTCTGGCAGCAGTTTTATACACCAGGCTAATGGTAGCAACAGGAGGTTTATATGCGGAACCTTCTTCCTCCAAGCACTTCTTCATCTTACTTTCCATGCAGTATTCCTCAAGTTTTCATGGCATTTATCTACAGTTTCCCTGTCTACAGAAACAGCCAGAGGCACCCGGTTTGATACTCCAATTTTAACCACAGTCTTGAGACTGCCAGTGTGCATGCTCATACCAAAACATAGCAGGAAACAGAACTCCTGGATCCTGGAAATCTGTGTCCTGACACTCCTGGAACCTCAACCATTTGCAGGTACAAGATGTTTTACTGGCTGCTGGCCTGCGATACGCGATGCTGTAACCGCAGCTGCTGCGAGCCTCGCTGGCTGCCTGTAGTACTATCCCTGCGTGCAGGGCTGCAGCCACCTCCACCAGTGTTTGTAAACATTCAGCCTTCCAAGAACTTCCCACTTGAAACACGACAGCTAATGTATTCACATCTGCAATAATTAAATGCAAACTCATAAAAAGCTGCTTTCTTGCTCAGCTGAAGCCCTATTCCATTAATAGTGATGTTCGAACGATTCTGAAACTCCCCACTGTTTAACTTTGAGGACTGCTCGTTTTACTTTGGAAATCTACTCTCAGTTGTAACTTGACAAAGAAGGTATTAATTTATTCACATTTATGAGGCATGTACATGGTTCAGCCTTCTCCATTCATTGGTCAGACAACAAATTGGTTTCTCTGAAAAATTACCTGATGAAATATTCAACATAAGGCATTGTGTAGCTTAGATGTGCAGTACAAACTGCAGTTTTACTGGGGTGTCCCTGTGGGTTGGCTCTGGCACGTACGCCTGCATGTTTTGCGCTTTGTCTGAAGAAGGAAGCTGCCCACAAGTGAGGAGAGGGCTCTTGGATATGGGTCACAAGTTGGTGTATCAAAACTTCGATGAGAATTTTAAAAAACCCTACAATGCATCAGCATATTTTCCCCAAGCCTTCAGAGGAAAAATCAAATCCAAACACAAAGCAAACCAGACCTTGAATATTCTTTGCTATTTCAGTTGTTTCTACAAAGAGGAGGAAATCAACCAAGATTTAGCCAAAGCCGGAATGAAGGACACACTCTAATGTAGGTTGCACAGTTTTCCTCTGCACTTCACGTTTGACACAGTCATTTTACTCCTGCTTTATTTTAGTAAGTGGCAAATACCATTTACACGTTTGCTTCCCATCCAGAAGATTTAAATAAATCAATTCCTCTCTCACAACCTCGTGGCGTTTTCCAGCTCCAACACCAAAACCCATTACACTCCGATTATTCTGATTTCCGAATCAAAACCCTGGAACCCGTTTCAATTGTGCTCAGAACAGAAGCAACGAGACAATGAGAAAAAAGAAAGAACCACCACTGAACACTTGGTGCGACCACCCCCCTCTCACAGTTCCGTTCGCATCGCCACCGCCGCGGAGAGACCCTTCGCAGCCCGGGCAGGGCTGCAGCGGTGCCGAGAGGGGCGAGAGGAGCCCGGCTCTCGGGGAAACCTCTCCGCTCCGACTTCTCGCCGCCCACGACCCGAGACAAACTCCAGCGTGGGGCGGCGAGCGCTCCCCGCCCCGCGGCTCCCGCGCCCTGCCCGGGCATCCCCCGGCTGGCAGCGGCCCGGGGCTGCCCCGGCCGGGCACCGCGCCCTCGGCCCCCGCGGGACTCACCGGAGATCTCGGCCTGGGGCACGCCGCTGAGGCTGAAGCCCTTGGCTCCATACAGCTGCCGGACCTCGGCGCAGCTCCTCGCCTTGCTGCCGCTGTCACCGCGAGCCGGGGCGGAGGCGACACACAGCAGCCAAAATCCCCACGGGAAGACACGCATCCTTCTCCGCTGGCCCCGCCACCTGCCGTGCGAAGGGCAAAGCCAAGGTCCCGCGGCTCGGGGGCGGCCGGGGGGGCGCGGGGTGCGGCCCCCTCCGCGGGCAGCCCCGGCGGGACGGGCGGGCGAGGGCGGCGGGCGGCGAGCCCCGGCTGCCCGCGGCGTGCGGGGAAAAGGCGCCGGCGAGTTCAGCCCCGGACGCCGCCGCGGCTCGGCCGAGGGGAGCAGAGATCCAAGTTCGACCGCGCCGCTTCAAAGCCCCGGAGCGAGAGCGCGCTGAGGGCTTTTGTTCTTAGCGCGGCTGCATCCCCGGGCAGTCCCGCCGCGATGCTGCCGGCTGCGGCGCCGCCGGGCCGGGCGG